CAAAACCAAATCCCATGGGAAGTTCCCCTTCCAGTACTCCAACGCCCTTGTGGTGTCTGTTCCCATTGGATCGCCGCCGCAGCAGATGGACATGGTCGTAGACACCGGCAGCCAACTGTCCTGGATTCAATGCCACGGCAAAGTAAGGAGAAAATCAGTGAAGCCCATGATTAATTGGTTTGACCCTTATCTCTCCTCCTCTTTCTCTTTCCTTCCCTGTAACACCACTCTGTGCAGACCCCGAATTCCCGATTTTACCCTTCCTACTTCTTGTGACCCAACTCGCCACTGCCACTACTCCTACTTCTACGCGGATGGGACCCTGGCCGAGGGTAATCTCGTCACTGAAAAATTCACCTTCTCCAATTCCTTAACTACCCGCTCCCTCCTTCTGGGCTGCGCTACGGCCTCCACCCAAAACAGGGGTATGTTGGGAATGAATACTGGACGCCTCTCCTTCATCTCCCAGGCCAAAATATCCAAGTTTTCCTATTGCGTTCCGGATCGAACCGGGTCGGATCTAACCGGCTTGTTCTACCTTGGAGACAACCCCAACTCCGCTAAATTCAAATACGTCAACATGTTGACTTTCCCCAAAAGTCGACTCTCCCCGAATCTTGACAAGTCGGCCTACACCCTCCCGATGAAGGGGATAAGAATAGGCAACAACAAACTCAACATCTCGCCCGCCGTTTTCAAACCGGACCCATCTGGGGCCGGTCAGACCATGATCGACTCCGGCTCCGATTTGACGTATTTGGTAGATGAGGCCTACAGCAAGGTCAGAGAAGAGATGGTCAGATTAGTGGGGCCCATGATGAAGAAAGGATACGAATACGCCGCCGTCGCCGACATGTGTTTCGACGGCGCAGTGGCGGCGGCGGTGGGTCGGAGGATCGGCGACATGTGGTTCCAGTTTGAGAATGGGGTGGAGATATTGGTCGGGAAAGGGGAAGGGTTATTGACGGAAGTGGAGGAAGGGGTGAAGTGCGTGGGGATCGGACGGTCAGATAGACTTGTGACTGAGAGTAATATAATCGGGAACGTTCATCAGCAGAATATGTGGGTGGAGTACGATCTGAGCAATAAGAGAATTGGGTTTGGTGTTGCTAAGTGTAGTGGATTGAAGGCATGATCATGGACGGTGGAGATTCATACTATTCTTTTGTGTATCTATTTTTATATTACCAAATTTTGTTTTTAACAAAATTTGTTGTAATATCAATACTTATTGATCATTCATTTCGTTTAAGTATATGACTACGAAATAGTTTGTTTTTTTAAGTTCCATACTTCCTAAATATAATTTAATGGATTAATTTATAAAATTTATAAAATAAATAAATAAATAAAACATTAATATCCACCGCCATCGTTCAGTACCCAATGTTGACAAGGTCCAACTACAACGAGTGAGCCTTGTTGATGCGTGCCTACAGGCGCAAGGGTTATGGCATGCTATCGAGCCAGAAGAAGGAGAAACGATCGAGTATTGGGAGGATCGGCTGGCATTCGCTGCCATAATATGATCTGTGCCCCTAGAGATGCTGGCGTCTCTTTCCACCAAGCGTACCGTGCAATCGTCCTTGGAGGGAATCAAATCTCGTCGGGTTGGTGTACAACGTGTGCGTGAATCCAACATCGAGCAGCTGCAGAAGGAGCTCTCGGAGTTCCGCTTTAAGGACAGCAAATTCGTCGATGATTTTTCAATTCGGATCGCGGGGCTCGCCAACAGCATCACCACTCTCGGTGGTAAATATCGGCAAGAGCAACGGGCCCTCCTCAGGCCGCAAAGGCGGTAAGAAGCCATGAAAGTCCCACGGGCGCATGTGCGGGAAAGATGGGGATCAAATGAATGAGTTGACCAACGGTTAGGCCGATCCCGTGCTCGAACTGTGGGAAGAGAGGTCACGTGAGCAAGAATTGTTGGAGCAAAGCTCAGGAATAAGGAGAAGGCCGAAAAGGCCTATGTGGCTCAGTCGGAGGAGGACGAGCCAGCTCTCTTCATGGTAAGTGCATGCGCCCCCAATCTCGATTCCAAATCAGTTGGGCGTAGCAAAGGCGGCACCAGCTGGGGAGCCAATTCAACTGGAGGAGGAGCGAGTGTTCGCTCAGATCGGCGAGAGGGATGAGCAACACGAGCACCGGCGATGGATCCTCGACACAAGGGCAACAAACCATATGACCGAGGCTAGATCTGCGTTCTTTGAGCTCGACTCGGGGATTCGCGGGACGGTGAAATTCGGCGACGGCTCCGTCGTCGAGATCGAAGGGCGCGGCACCATCCTGTTCATCAGCGAGGCGAGCACCGCAAGCTGACCGACGTCTACTTCATCCCGAGGCTCAAGGCTAACCTTGTGAGCCTGGGTCAACTCGATGAGACAGGCTGCTTCATTTCTCCATCGAGCACGGACTACTCAAATTTGCGATAATCAACGACGGCTGCTCACTCAGGTTCGGCGCAGACAAATCGTCTTTACATCCTGGAGTTAGAGATAGAGCAACTCGTCAGCCTCTCGGCCAAGACTGAAGAGGTATCTTGGAGGTGGCATGCAAGGTACGGGCACTTAAAACTTCCCTGCCCTAGAAAAGCTACAGAAGAAGGAGTTGGTGCACGGTTTGCCGGCAATCAAAGGCGTGAACAAGCTATGCGACGGGTGCCTCATCGGCAAACAGAGGCACACACCCTTTCCGTCTCGAACATCCTACCGCGCCGATGAGCGGTTGGAGCTTGTACACAGCGATATCTGCGGGCCCATCAAACCGGCGACCCAAGGCGGTAAGACTCTCTTCCCTCCTATTAGTCGATGACAAAAGCCGCTTCATGTGGCTGACCCTGCTGCAAGCGAAAAGTGAGGCGGCAGAGGCGGTTAAGCGCATTAAAGCTGTGAATGTTTGCTGAATCCACCACACCTAAATGGGGGTGAGAGTTCTCTTATTTATAATCATTTACATAATACAGAAATATGGTAAATTACAAATAATATGGAAATAGCAATAAAAGAAAAGAATAATAAATGAATACAATATATTTGTCTTTAATAAAAGGGCAAATATGGTAACCCGTAATGTAAGGCAAATATAGATATTTGCCTTATAATGAACGGTCAACTATCCTTANTACAGGGAAGAGTCCCTTCGAAATTGTAAGTGGACGACAACCGGCCTTACCCCATATTATTGATCATCCTTATGCAGGAAAAAACCCTCAAGCTCACAACTTTACAAGGGAATGGAAGCAGACGACGGATATAGCCCGGGCATATTTAGAGAAGGCTTCCAAACATATGAAGAAATGGGCGGACAAGAAGCGTCGCCCCCTTCATTTCCGTGCAGGAGATCAAGTCCTTATCAAGCTGAGACCGGAACAGATCAGATTTCGTAGCCGAAAGGACCAGAGACTAGTTCGTAAGTACGAAGGCCCGGTTGAAGTCCTTAAAAAGATCGGGGCTACCTCCTACAGAGTTGCACTACCCGCGTGGATGAAAATCCACCCCGTCATTCATGTGAGCAACTTGAAGCCTTATCACCCTGATCCAGACGACGACCAACGAAATGCAACCACAAGACCGAACATCGATCTGAAGCAAAAAGAAACAAAGGAAGTGGAAGAGATCCTAGCCGACAGGGTTAGGAAGATAGGAAGACCTGTACGGACGATTCGTGAATTCCTTGTCAAATGGAAGAATCTCCCTACAGAGGAAACAAGCTGGGAACGCGCCGAAGATCTGAACTCCGCCGCCACCCACATCGCAAGGTATGAAAGTAGTCGGTTGACAGGGACGTCAACCAATTAGGTGGGGGAGGATGTCACGGTCATGCTTGTCCAAGGCATGTTGCCCATGGCCGCATGCCCATGACAAGCCAAACCCTTGTCATGTCTTTTCATTCTAGTGTTTTTCCTTTTGTAATTCTAAAGCCTATGACACCTCAAAAATATCATGTCTAGGCCTGCCAGAACTAAAATGGCCCAGAATGTACTATAGTCGTCAACTTCTCCCTACCCAAGGTTATATATGCTAAGCCGTTGTTATCTTTCTCTTGCTTGCTTATATAACGTCTCTTTCTAAAATCTCTCTCTCTAAAATCTCTCTCTCTAAAATCTCTCTCTCTCCTCGTTTTCTAAAACTTTCTTTTAAAACCGAGGCTAGAGGCTTGACCGTACGTCGCTTGGCCGTAGGCGACGCAAGAACAAATAGGCTGAACTCACTTGTCGCTAGAAAGTGAGTGCCGCACAATCGCTAGTCCGCTGCCTTCGAAAGCGCGATTGTGTCATTAGGCACGTCCAAGAAGAAGATTGGCTATAACCAAGATGATATTACAAATATCTTCCACAACCTTCCCGTTGCCAGACAGTGCCGATGAGTCCTTCGGCGGCTGCATGAAGCTGTCCAGACAGTCTCTGGCCTCCGTCATGGCTATAGACGCCATAGTGTTGACGCCATTATAGTCACCTTTCCCCAAGTAGTTCTTCCCATCCACGATGTCGTCGACGACATTGTTGTAGTGTTTAGCACAGGTGGCATAGCGCTCCTTAAGCTTGGGATCGGCGGCATTGGACTCCAAGGACTAGGCGAGGACACGACTTTGAGTAGCCTTGTTGGCGAGGTCAAGGGTGAAGATGGCCAGCCCTTTTAGGTCTGTGGTGCCAACAGAATTCAACACGTTAAAGCAAAAAGATGGGTTTCTAGTTTTCTTGCAGACGGTGGAAATGATGTCGTCTTGGGAAGCTACATGCATGGGCACCATCCCATTGAAGAACAGAACTGAAAAGACACAATGGAAGAAACTGCAACAAAACTAGAAGATGCCATTTTTTATTTTTATATTTTCTGTCTGTTTTGCTCAATTAATTCCTAGGGAGGGTTTACATATTTATACCCTCACAATTTTAAGTAAAATGCTATTAAAAGAAAAACGAACAAAAATAGACCGAATAGGTTGCTCTTTTTTCTCTCCAAACCCAATCACAAACTTGGCTTGGTTATTATGCACACTTTTCTCTATGCTTAAACTAATAATATTTATTTTACAAAAAAAAAAAAAAACAAGGTTATTAACGTAATATTGAACAATATGTTAGTTGACATGGCAGAAGATCATATTCAATAAATAACCTAATAGGTCGACAAATATTTGTTTTGCCAATGTTTTTTGTTGGCATCTCGAAAAGTAGTCCTTGCCATCATTGTGTGTTTTGACGTGAAAAATCTGAGTCAATCAACACGACTTGGTTAAAATCATGGATGTGGGAATCATGCATCGAGAAGTTAGTAAGTCAATAAGCTCGACTTCCCAGACCAACCTCGGTCCACAATTTCCTGCAAATTTGTTAGAGGCATCATAAACGTGAAGATAATATAGTGTGTATGGCAAAAGGTATATATAGAGACATCATGCATCATAGAACATGAAAGTAATCACAAGATACAAAACATAACATCATATATATGTCTCATGGGATCCCACGTAACACAACATAAATTTAGTTATAACATAACATAACACCATACACGTCAAAGAGTCACAAGTACGACACGTGTAAGGGACATAGAGCACGAGTCGTTCATACTTTGTACCATTCATCTCACCAATCTAATAGTAAAACCACTTATTTGGTTGACCCAATCCGTCACTAAAATTTCTAAATTGCTATTCGTTTGATCCTGCTCACCGAGGTTGTGTTTCAAACCAGACTCCCAACCTCATTAAGGGTTGATCCTACTTATCGAGGTTAAATCTACTACATATTATTGTTAAACAAAGATTCACCATGAACTTAATTCAATTCATTTAATATCATAGTTTTGAACTAAAAAATTACATATTCAAATCCTATCACATATATAGTCAAACTAAAAACAAACATTTGTTCAAACTAAAACTAAAACTAAAATCAGTTTCCTTGAAATAGGATTTTTGAATTCTCTACCGTACATTAATTATGCACACTCTCTCTCTTCCATTTTTACCCTCTATATAATCCCAACAACAGCTCCATCCAAAAACACGTTGGATATGACCGACTATCAAAATATATCGAGACAACAACAAAGAGAATAGAAAAGAGTTTCTTTTTTAATTGTTGCTTTTTTTTTTATTTGTTTCGGTGTATTTAGACTGTGGGTCATATCCAACGTCATCAAAACCGTCACAAACCCATAATCATGCCTCTCTCTCTCCTACTGCTCTCCCTATTGGGTCTCTTATTCTCCCCATCAAACTCCCTCTCCCTCTCCTTCCCTCTGACCTCCCATTCTGTCTCCTCCCAAGAAGCCTCCCTTTCCCTCTCCATCAAAACCAAATCCCATGGGAAGTTCCCCTTCCAGTACTCCAACGCCCTTGTGGTGTCTGTTCCCATTGGATCGCCGCCGCAGCAGATGGACATGGTCGTAGACACCGGCAGCCAACTGTCCTGGATTCAATGCCACGGCAAAGTAAGGAGAAAATCAGTGAAGCCCATGATTAATTGGTTTGACCCTTATCTCTCCTCCTCTTTCTCTTTCCTTCCCTGTAACACCACTCTGTGCAGACCCCGAATTCCCGATTTTACCCTTCCTACTTCTTGTGACCCAACTCGCCACTGCCACTACTCCTACTTCTACGCGGATGGGACCCTGGCCGAGGGTAATCTCGTCACTGAAAAATTCACCTTCTCCAATTCCTTAACTACCCGCTCCCTCCTTCTGGGCTGCGCTACGGCCTCCACCCAAAACAGGGGTATGTTGGGAATGAATACTGGACGCCTCTCCTTCATCTCCCAGGCCAAAATATCCAAGTTTTCCTATTGCGTTCCGGATCGAACCGGGTCGGATCTAACCGGCTTGTTCTACCTTGGAGACAACCCCAACTCCGCTAAATTCAAATACGTCAACATGTTGACTTTCCCCAAAAGTCGACTCTCCCCGAATCTTGACAAGTCGGCCTACACCCTCCCGATGAAGGGGATAAGAATAGGCAACAACAAACTCAACATCTCGCCCGCCGTTTTCAAACCGGACCCATCTGGGGCCGGTCAGACCATGATCGACTCCGGCTCCGATTTGACGTATTTGGTAGATGAGGCCTACAGCAAGGTCAGAGAAGAGATGGTCAGATTAGTGGGGCCCATGATGAAGAAAGGATACGAATACGCCGCCGTCGCCGACATGTGTTTCGACGGCGCAGTGGCGGCGGCGGTGGGTCGGAGGATCGGCGACATGTGGTTCCAGTTTGAGAATGGGGTGGAGATATTGGTCGGGAAAGGGGAAGGGTTATTGACGGAAGTGGAGGAAGGGGTGAAGTGCGTGGGGATCGGACGGTCAGATAGACTTGTGACTGAGAGTAATATAATCGGGAACGTTCATCAGCAGAATATGTGGGTGGAGTACGATCTGAGCAATAAGAGAATTGGGTTTGGTGTTGCCAAGTGTAGTGGATTGAAGGCATGATCATGGACGGTGGAGATTCATACTATTCTTTTGTGTATCTATTTTTATATTACCAAATTTTGTTTTTAACAAAATTTGTTGTAATATCAATACTTATTGATCATTCATTTCGTTCAAGTATATGACTACGAAATAGTTTGTTCTTTTGAGTTCTGCGCCTAAAACTTGAAAATGAGGTCGTTAGAGAGTTGTACCAAAAATCAAGTGTTAAACTCCAAAAATCAAGTGTTAAACTTAGGTGTTATTAGAGACTTTAGGTGACAAACAAATAAAAATTTCTGAAATCTATATATGTCAAATGAAAACTGGTTGCTCAATAGATAAGTATAAGCTCGATGATTATTAGACAAAATCAAGTACCTTCTCTAAAGAAGTTTGAAGAATTTTGAAATTTGAATCCTTCTTTCCACGAAAACTGTGAGTGGGCTTATCCTAGTACCTTAGGCTACATGTGTGTGATTGGTGTCATAGCTTTGTGGGGA